CTAAGCTAAGCTAACAGGCCTGAATTCTCATTTGAACAATGAAGCCTTATCGATGAAATGGGATGAGTCGAAGTTCCCAATATTCGGAAACACCTCAGAGAGCTGTGACTCATCGAGTCCGACCCATTCGGCAACTGGCCGCATGAAGTTTTCCCATGGGTGCTTCGGGATGAGCCGTCCTCGACCGGCATCTTGCTCAGCTCCGGGCAAGAAGGACTTAGGAAAGGAATTGAAGATATTGCCGCCCTGGACAGCACCGCCGGCGACGATGTAGTTCCCACCCCATGCATGGTCTGAGCCTTGTCCACTGTTGGGCGTCAGCGTGCGAGCGAAATCGGAGTGTGTGACCATAACAGTGGAATCAAAGATCCCTTGGGCTTTGAGCTCTGCAACGAACCGCTTGAACCCATGATCCACTTCCTCAAAACGACGCCTGAGATTCCATTCTACGCTTGCATGTGTATCGAAGCCTCCAAGCTGCACGAAGAACAAATCCCTCTCCACCTTTCTCTCAGCCCGGGATGCCATCAATCGAGCCACCTCCTTCAACTGTCGGGTCAGCCCGCGGCCATCCGTCGAGAACGATGTCTTCAACTCCACATTCTTCAAGCTTTTTCTGAGTTGCTCATTGAAGGCCAAAGCTGCAGACAATTGCTGATTGTACTCTTCGCCATAGATGTTTCCATGCCGGATGCTGGTGATATTGTCAATGACAACTTGCAGCTGCTCTCTTTTCTCGATGCCAATGGGCTGACCGTTATTGATGATTTCCGCATTGGTCTCGACGCCTTGGGGCCACGGCTGCGATCCGGCAACGCTGAAGGACATGGTTTTCATCGCACTGCTGCCGCCAGCTAACGCGTCGGCAATCCTGCCTCCAGCACCCTTGGAAGAGGCGGAGGCCAAATGGCAAGTCAATGTCTGGGCTGCACGTTGCTGGTCTGAATGAGAGAAGAGGCCAACACAATTCTCACCAGATCCAGATCTCCATTTTGTTCTGTCCATGGCTTCGACCAGGGAGCCAACATTGGCAACAAATGCCAATTCTTTGCTGTCGTACAGCTCTTTGAAAGTCGGCAAGGCGAAGTGAATTCCGAACTGCGAGCAGTTCTGATTGTTGGCATCGATTAGGTTTAGGTCCTCAACATTCATGGCAATGTTTTCGCGCACGGTGCGATACTCATCATAGAGAGGGCAATTAACCGGAACGAGCATGTTGTAGCTGTCAGCGCCGCCGTTCAAAAACACCATAATCAATGCTTTGTAGTCTCGGGGCTGCTGCTCAGGCTTTGGTACCGGAGGAGGACGCGGTCCGAGCGGAAGCGAGCTGCCCAGAATGTTGAACTCTGGACTGAGGATGACCGCCTTCTGCGCCACCTTGTACCGGTCCGCTCCGTCGGCCTCTTGATATGCGGCTTTGATAAACTCCTTGTTGTGCAATCGCCCACCCGTAAGGAGGAGGTCCATCTGCTCAATTGTGGGTTGAAGGCATTCGAACTCCCCCACATGGAGTACACCGTGTGAGCAATTGCTTGACCAGAAGCCAAAGCCTCGCCCACACTCGCCCAGCCCGTAATCGATCAAGGAGGCTAGTCCGTTGATGAAACTGATAGCCATGGGTGGAGTGAAAATCTGAAACTCCGGTGCAACCATTCCTTGCGGGAAATTGTCTGGCTTGAAATCCGGCAGGTAGTAGTTGAATACCGATGGATGGTTGAAAGGCCACTGACCGATCTTGTCTTGCAAGTTTTGAATCATGACGATCCTCTCCGCCTGGTCTTTGTACTCCATGGCTCGCATCAAATGCATCAGCTTCAGAAGAGGCTCTCTGAGTGCTCCATTGGAAGGCGTGCTTTGGCCTCGGGCTTCAGGATGCAGCAAAATGGCCGCGAACGTGGCACCCAAGTCCCCGTACTTCCCAGAGTACACTTTGCCGTTGTAGCGACCAGTTTTGAACGCAGTGGCCACGTCGAGCACGAATGCCGGGGAAGGATTGGAGCTTGCAAACCGCTGGATTAAGCGGTAGCTGATGAAAGGGGCTGTATTTGGATGGTTGAAGAGATGGTCGAGCAAGCTTTCTATCTCTGCCAAAGCGTGCTTTGGTTCAGCATAGTTCGTTGGCATGAAGACTGGAGGATTGCGAAATTCATAGCTGCCCAGCTTCACCACACTTTCCGAATTCTTGTAGAAGGCTCCGTCGTATTCAAAGACGGTGCTCTCATCAAACTGGCCCTTGAGAAAGTATGTACGCACTTCACCTTGACAGTTTGAGGAGCAAGCGATGCTCGGTGGGGCGGCCCCGATCTTCAACTTGGCAACTTCACTGGCCGTCGGTGTGGAAGCGAAAGCCACCCTGGTTTCGACTGTCATGTCGCAAGAGCACGCCGTATCAGCTACCACACAGCCTGATGGGCATTGGCCGTTGTCTACTTTTGGATACTGATACAAGCGGTCCTGCCAATAGACTTTGATCTTATTCTGCTTGGTCTTGCTTGTCCAATTGGAACTGACCAATCCATCCTCGTGGACAATGACCTCGTAGGAGCAAGTCTCCGGAGTCCAAACATGCTCGTCGTTGTATTGGCACCCGTAGTTCTCCAACTTCTCATTGCAAACTTCCAGCCCGCGAGCTTT